TCCCCTGAAATACCACTTGCCTTCTTCCTTAACGCAGAATCCAACTTGAATATTTTTTTTTCTCTTGTTTGCCTTAAAGTGGGACATGTAAATGACTTGTTAAAAAGCCAGCTCAGGCAGCACGCGAGTGGCGATTGCAAAGAGCTCTGATGCAGCGAGGAGTAAGCAGAGTAAACGTGGAGAAGCACACGGCTTAGTGTGTCACGTGCTTGGAACTGGTCAGGGGTTTCACGTTCCCTTAGGACTCAGACCTAGGTACTGAGTGCCTGAGCTCCTGCGGTTCGCCAAGCTCCAGCTTCCTTTCCTGTCCCTGGAAAGCTTCCTCTTATCTCCTGGAGCGTTTCCCCTCATGCCGTGTGCTCTTTGCTCTTTCCCCTTCTCCCACCCCTAAGCATTCCTCAAACGAAAGGTCACTTCCCTGTGCGAGGCCACTGGTGAGTATAAATCTGCTAGCACTCTGCCTCTTACCAGCAATTAGTCCATCAGCTATTGTAAGTAGATGCCGTAATTGTTTTCTAGTGGATTTCATGAGGCTAGACTGTCTTTTTTTTCTGTCTTCTCAGGGTCTGGCCCAGTACCTGGCTGGAACAGAACTAAAGAGTTGGAGGGCCAAAGAAGCTACTTTGAGAAAACATTAACTAGGGAGAGTGACTGTTTCCTATGGAAGTTCCATTTATCAGACAGGAGACTTAAGTTTTTTTTTCCCCCTACATTGAATAGCTAGTTATATTTAATCATTTGTAAAAAAAAAAAAAAAAAAACAAACTCAGATGTAAATAAAATTTGCCCAAGTCTTGTTAACTGACCCAGTTCTGTTACGTGAAAAAGTTGTAGGGTAGGACAAACCATTTTTGGAGGGGAGAAGATGAAGACATTATGTTTTGGATTGTTAATTTTCCCCCTCCTCCCCTCCCTCCCTTCTTTCTATTGATAGGCTCTCATGTAGCCCAGGCTGGCCTGACACTGTGTAACTGAGAATGATCTTAAACCCCTGGTTCTCCTGCCTCAACCACAGGTGTGGACCACTGTATCCAGGGTTGGATTGTAAATTCTATCACAGTGGTTTCTCTTTCCCCCTGAACCTTAGGGTGATGTAGGAGTTATTCACCTGCTGTAGACACCCAGTATTTATTTGTGATACAGATTTATAGGTTCTTTTGAAATCTTGGCTAATGAGAACATTGGAGGCAGGCTAAAGTTGACATTTCTTTGGGACATGAATCATTTATTTCTCTAATTCCTTTTATTTGCTTTCTGGAGACAAGGGAGATGCTTACCATGGAACATTACGTAACTTCCCTGTACAGATTGGTTTCTTACATTCTTGTCTAATCAGTGTGTTGCATTTTATTGCTTGTGTGTGTGTATACATATGCACACATGCCACTGTGAGTATGGAGGTCAGAGGACTACTTACTTAGTGGAGTCAGTTTTCTTCTACCTTTATGTGGCTTCTAGGGATTCAGCTTGGGTTGCCAGGCTGCATGCAGGCATTTTTATCCACTCAGCTATCCGGCCAGCCCCACTGGTCAACTTTGTCACCTGAAAGGAAGATAGTTCCACCACACAATCTAATACGTCTTTGCAAATGGGGTGGAAACCTTTGTGGTGGCTCAGGCCTAGTACTTTGGGGCAGAGAGGGCAGGCAGATTTGAGTGAGGCCAGCTGAGGCTACAGAGTGAGACCTTATCTCCTCCAAAAACAAACAACAAACAAAACCCCAAACAAGCCAAAAGCACCAACAATAGATAAGGAGTGCAGACCATCCCAGCGCCGTGAGCTGGTGGCGCGGTGAGCTGGTGGCGCGGTGAGCTGGTGGCACACCTCCGTTGGCGCCCAGCACGGTGGATGGTGCTTGTTTTCTTTTGCTGCTGGGCCTCTTGTGAGAACTGTCCTATGATCCATTTTCAGTTCCTCAACACATTTTGCAACCTACTCCAATACATTTGCCCTTTCTGGAACCAGCTGTGCACGGAGTTAGTAAACCACCCACTGTTAGCTCATCTCCACATTGTGAAATAGCTGTCTCAAGTTCCACGCCCCCCCCTTTTTAATAACCTTTTATATATATTATATATAAACACAAAACAAAACCTTGCAAATAAAAATGTCATACACCATTCTTTCTGTGTTTGTTCTCTACTTGAATTTTCCATGGTCCTGACCCTGGAGGCTGAATCCTCTCATGCCCCCTACCCCCGACGGCATTCTTTGCTCCTTATTCTCCTTTTAACCTCTTTGCTTTTTGTCTTTTTGCTGTTCATGTTTTAAGTGCTTCATAATACTGGGGAAATTACTTCACCATCTATAAGATGGTGTGCTAATATCTACTGCTTAGCATGTTAAATAAATGCTATGTAAATAGTGCCTGAGTGTTTCCTGGGTGACCTGCCTGGGAAAGGTCCTGAACTGTGCGCTGTCAGTGAACTTGCCTTAGCTGTTAGTGTGCACTGATGCATCCCAAATCCCTGTCTTCAGTCCAGACTTGTGTGCTCTGCTGGCCTTTGATACCTTGGCTGGCCTACAGACACATAATTTTGGGCTTTTCCAGTCTTCTCCCCGTAATTAGCATAACGGCGTTCCTAGCCTTTCTGAGTTAGCATGCTCGCTTGGGATCTGTGAACAGCTACCTTGCACCTGTAGCCAGCCACGCCTCCAAGACTTCTCTAATCATTTGTAAATTTATCTGATCTTCTTTATCTCTTCCCACATGTCAGGTGAGTCTTCAGGCCTTATTGCTTTGTAGGTGAGCTCGCTGCTGGCTGCTGGCACTCTGATCTTGCTTTTCTTTATCGAATCCTTCCCTTTGGTTCTGAGTTACTCTTGTTCAAGATAAATATCAAGTCCTTCTTTGAGAACTTTTTGGTCTTTTGGGTTGAGGGCTGCACTGAGGGCCTCCCACATTCTCGACAGATGAACTGCGATTGAAGTTCACCCCGAGGTCCCAGTCTAACTTTTTAACAAGTGTAATTCTAGTGCTGTGTTTGAGGGGAGAAGAAAAGTAAAAACAAAAGGACTGGAAGCATAAGAGATGAGCACAGTGGTTAGTGGAGATTTATTTTTATTTCTTTACTTAGTGTGTGTGTTTGTGTGTGACAGAATCTCATTACATAGTCCAGTATGTCCCCAAACTCATGGCAGCTCTCCTGCCTCAGCCTCCCAAGTGCTAGGGTTACAAGCGTGAGTCATGCCTGGCCTTTGAATAGTGCTTTTGAATGAAGTGAGGTGGCAGATGTGGG